AAAACCCATAGCTCGATGGTATGCCGACCTCTTCACAGAGCCCCACGGAGAAATTGAAAGGGTCCTTTCCTTACCGAAATAGCGGAATTCGTTTGACACTTTATTGCTGCATGAGGGCAAGAGCCGATTGGCGACTGAGTGGTTTCTCTAAGCGATTTTAATGACACAAACAGGTACAACCGATTGAGATATAGTCACGGTACCCGTAGTACACATTCAGACTCCAGGTCATTCGGAGTCAGTTCAATGTGACGTTTTCGCACTTGAGAACCAATTTTCCCACTCACAATGTGATCTGCGCGTTGCTTGCTCATTTTCGGAACGAAGTGATTTGTCCCCATTGTGATATAAGAGGATTGTTGCTGGAAAAGAAATGTATGTGACGTTGCCTGTACTTTGTTCCTGACCAAGTTTGAAGAGCATGACGTACTTAGAATTATTGGATTCAATATAGCGCTAAGTTGAGATTAGAGCAACCATACGGCCGGCCATTCCAAAAATACTCTTATGCAATGTGGCGAGAGAAGTGACAACAAATCCAGAAGTAACGATGCATCGCGCAGTTTAATTGTCCGTGCTCTTGAGACTAATGAAGTGATGGTTAGGTGCTCAAGCTGAGTTGTCTCAACGAGCTGGGGTGTCATGGCCTGACGTTGCTTTGGTGCCGTTTTCGAGCATGAGCATAGCATTTTTTGCTCAGATAGGAAACTGGTGAGTATGGCTCAGGCCTTATTTGGCAAGCGCTGGCAAACATTCCCTAATGTCTCGCAACCTAGATTTATTCTTTGAAGGCCAGTTTCGATCACTGATTACCCACGTACGTCGTCTGCACCTTTCACATCAGGGATCGTATTATTTAGCGTGGCAAGTACAGGGGCCAGTCGTGCTTTGTGTTTTTCGGTCTTTTTCCGCTTAAATCTGAAGCAACATTCTGATAAGCAGGCAGCTTCACCACTACTCAATTTTTGACCATCCGCTACGCAAGTCACCTGACGCAAATATAAGTTCTGACAAAAAAGGTGATGTACTACTCCAGAGTACTCCAAAATTGACGCAAATGACGGCTCCGCGGTCATGTTGGAAGGGAAAGCAGCGCAAGTCGCCCGCTAGACATATCCAGAGCCTTTCCTAATTCAACTCTGATCACAAGTGTTAGCCAACAGAACTTACAAGCACATTGGTGCCTGACCTGACCGTGCCTCCACTGCTCCTACTTCCCAGTAATCCTGCGCGCTTCTTATATTGTCTGTGTTCGTGATCTTCTTCTAAAACCAGTAATGTATCCCTTACCTACAAATTGTGAGGAAAGGCGCTACTATTTTCGTGCGGAACTTTCCGTTTAGAACGCAGCGATGGCGTCTCTTTGCTGTTCCTACTCGCCCGCCCTACTTGCGCATATTCGTTAGCTTCGCTGTGACAAGGGTGGCGGATCGTACGATTTCGACCAAACAACATACGGAGTACATGCCGATGGGCGCGACCCCACCTCAGAAGCTAATTGTGATCACCGCGCGCAAATGCCCGACTTGCATTCTCGGAGCGCAGCAATGCTTGGCTTGTAACCTCTCCTAATGGCTCGGGCATCGCTTTAAGAGCAATGAAAATGACAGTTTGAGAGCCGCTCAATTATATGACCTGATCTCTTCCCAGTGCGAAGATGAACAAGCCGTGGAGCACAACAAAATCACCTGGAAGCATGCGCCCATCTGGACCACCCCTCCGGCCCGCCGCAAGTGGCGGTCCAGCGAGTGGGCGGGGCGAGCGCACTTATTCTGCGGAATGCGCGCTATCTGCTGTCGCCCTTTTTCGCAGATTGCAAAACCAGTATATACTTCTCCTACATAGGCGGACCTTGTGATATTCCAGAGAGGCGGCGCCGCCGGGAATACTTTCAATGAATAGCGGCGCAGACTGCCTTACACTAGGCCGTCGACCACCTGATTGTTATCAACTTTTTAACCGGTGCGCCATTCACAGCATGTCCTATGAAGGTGCCGCCACCTAATGCGTACCACTCCTAGGACTCTTCCTGCGCGGACCGCAGAAGGCGAAGACTCCCCCCGCCGCTAGCGGTGGCCACTATTTTATCGAATGCGCAGGGAATAACCGGAACGTTTCAGAGTCTAACCCGGGCTATGGCACGGTGATTGGGTGCTCGGCCTAAGATATATAGTGAGAGCGCCTAATATAGTGGGGAAGGCTATTAAGAAAGGTCAAAATCCTGCGAAGCGAAGAAAGCCTTCGTTCTCAGTGTATGGAATCTGGGACGAGTTTCCCGTAGCATTTTGACAATAACGCTACGAAAGGTACAGACTTGCATTGTGTACGTATATCTTCCTCCAGTCACGTCATCATGCAGCATCACGGTCGCTTCATACCAATCCCGTCGCTTCCTTTTGCTTAGCAAATGAATCGACTAGAGCGTCAGGAACGGTCGTCCATTTGTGGGCGGGCGGGCGTTTGGGTCGGTATGTTGTGGCTTGATAGGGCCCTTATAAGGGCACCTCCCTTGGAAAAGGCATTATGCAGCGCCTGCTCAGGGTCGCGGAATTCCGTCCTGCGTATTAATCCTACTCGTCTTGGGGGATTTATCGTGCCAACTGCCTTTAAGTAATTGCATGAACTGGCACTCCCTCAAGCGTCCATAGGTCCTGGTCAGACGACGAGTTAGCGCGCATTGTGAAGGGCTTCTTAGAGGCGTAATGTTCGATAATTTGGTACACAATGTCAAAAATGGCAGCAGTAATGCTACAGTGGGAACGTGGCGAAAATGCGAAGTGAAACGGTTAAAAAAATCTGCAAAAAAGCCGCTGTTAGACGACTCAGGAAGCGATTTCGGACGAGTTTTCCGTTGTCATGGGCCAGTAACCGCTATGGTAGATACGGCTGCATGTGTGTACTCATATATCCATGCAGCACCACAGCCGCTTCATAGCAATCCCTTCGCTTCATACTGTGCTTTGCAAATAGGCGATGAGAGCAACAAGTACGGTAGTCCATTTATGGGCGGGCGGAGTGGGCGTTCGGATCGGTATGTTGCAGTCTGATAGGGCTTTGTAGGGGAAGCTTCCTTGGAAGAGTGCCACCTGCCTTTAATACCGAGCACATCTGCGGTGCTAAGGGAGGCAATATATCCTCCCTTTTTTTGCTATGATCTTGACATGACAGTGATCTATAGCTAAGTGTCAAATCCCCAGCTCTCCCGGGTTGATTCGGAGAATGCTTAGAGCTTATTGCAAAAATAGTTTAAATCCTAGGGATAAGTGAGTCAATAACAGGCTTAGCTTAAGGAGTTTGTTTTCTATCTCATTATGTAAAATCCTCTTCTGAGCAAGATAAGCGCAGCCCTCCCATATACGCTTTAGAGACTCCCGTAGTCACACAAAGTTGCACAAACTAGCGCGGCAAACGTGATCAGAAGCAATTCCAATTCTAACTGAGTTAAATTTTTCTAATTGAGTTGAGCCGGACAAAACGAGAACTACTAGTTGTCTATAGCGAATTTCTTTTCGAGTTCAGGCCGAGTAAGTCGCAGAAGCCAGAAAGATGGGATATACTGTAACAAGGTCCTGGTGCTGAAATGTAATCTTTGACCATTTCATCCTGTCGTAGGCATGTACCTCGTGTCATGTTTCGATCGGATTATAGCCTGTTTTGGTCTTTTCGCTTCATTACTCAATCATTAAACGAGGAATAAGGGATTCGAGATCAAACGTCATCTCTGATGACATCATGGCTGTAATCCCTCGAACATTTCCTATTTTTGTTTCGAACGCTTTTTGATCCAGAAAGTCAAGGTTGAAGAACCTTTCAAGAGGCCTGCGTCTAGGTATAGTGGATTGGTTGGCAGGTAGTATTTCCTGACCGACAAGAATCGGTGACAAGACTTTTACGTCGGCCTTATATCGTACGGTGCAGAGCCTACCGCCTCCGTACTGCCTCTGCTCACGCTTAGGGTTAAGACTGTGTCAGACCTCGAGATTTAGGAGGGGGGGGGGGGAAATGGACTCTGCTGAAGCGTCCAACGATAGAGTTTTCTAAAGTCATCAAGTGCGCCGCTCAAAGAACTTCGAATCAAACTGGTAGTAGCATTTTGAATGCAAAATGGGCTCAAATTGACCAGTGGTAGCGCAAACGTGCAAGTCGTATACTATCCTAACGGAAAATTCTGTCCAACTGGTTAATCTCGAGTAATGGAAGGCCGGTTGTTGTGAGCTGATCAGGGAATTGACTAGCTACCGTGAAAAACGGCGCCCATACTTGCCAGGAAATACCCGCTTCCATGAGTAACAGAAGAAAGCTGTTCCTAACAAGTTTTATTTCTGCTTTGTTGTAGCAAGGGTTGTCGAAAGCGCGAAAATTACTATCAATATTTCCATGGACAATTTGCAGCTGTCCGCAGAGCGCAAGCTTCACTTAATAGTCACTTATTACACTATACAGGAAGGTTGCATGACAAGATAATTGCATATGAACGATCAAATTAACTTCTAATTTCAAACATTCTGCTAGAGCAGAAGCAATTATATTATTTCTGCAAGGAGACTTGCCTATTTTCTTTTTATAAATTTTTAGGCTTTTAACGGCTCTGTAACATATCTGCGAAGGGCAGAACATGCTCAGAAGGGCAAGTACTATAGATGCCTTAGTGGAGAGGGCTATGGCAGGTCCGGAAGGAAAATAATAATAAGAAAAAAAAATATTGGGGCGCAGAAAAGCTTTCCAGTGTCGAATCAGAAAGTGAAGATTTGTCGAGAACTGAAACTCATTACAATACTGAATTTTAAAACCGCAGACCGAAAGCATTTTGTGTCTATTAACTTCAAGCGCTTCCTTGAGTCTTTCCGATTGATCCAAACATCTGATTTGCTTCCGGTCTTCTGAGGTCAAATTCATTATTTTTCAGCTCGAATCTTCATGTCCAGTGGCATCTGCATGCTTCTTGGCTACGACACGGGCATCACCTACAGCTCCAAATCAAGTAAGGACAGTGGCTGATCATGCCAGATGTCTGCTCTCATTACTCGATAGGATCATCGACGCTGAACAGGTAGGAATTCTAGCAGTATTTAGTGGCTTCACGTCAGTTTAGGTACAACTGGGAAAGGTGTTCCACCGATGTTCAGCTTAGCGAGAGGAAATGGAGCCTTTTGCTAGTATTTCAAAATTTGCTAGTATTTCAAAATTCCTTGGTCCTCTTCCGAACATGAGGGGCTGCGCATTTCCTGTTCTCATCAGACCTGTTTATCCTTCTGTTGTTCAGGGAGCGGATATTTTCAGCAGGACGCATACGCTCGCTGAGCTTGAGCCGGTTTTATGGTGAAGTGAGTGCAGGTGGAAGTGGTGTAGGGGCAAAAAGGCATGCTTACGAAGCGCGCGGTGCGGGGCTCGAACACCCACCTCGGCTCCAACCCAGCCCAACCAGGCCTTCTGCCTTCCGGAGACGGCATATTGGTGCCAGATTCATTTGTAAGGATAAGAACATTGGCACGTTCATCGGCTGGCCCCGCAAGTCACTATGGGCCACATAGGCTTCAGTAGGTCGCTACAACTCAGAATGGAAGCATAATGCGTGCCGCATCTCAAAATTAGACTGATCAACGGCAAATACTGCATCCTTTATCCTTCAAAGTGATAAGAGATAACAAGAAATCCTAGGCTGTGACTACTATCTGGAAAGGCTGTGTATGTGGTCCATGTAGAGCCTACTATCTCTCGAGGCGGATGCGGCTGTCCCAGAAGTTGTCTGTTAGTCTGTGGCGACATCAGGAGCGCTCAATTCCTTACTCTTACATCTTACGTGTTAAAAGTCATTAACGTGCTCTTCCGCTCCAGCGGAAGTGAACCATAAAGCAGTGGCTTTACGTTGATCAAGTTTTTCAAAGCTTTCTTGGCTTCAACGAGTTCAATATGAGACTCTACTGGCATGTGACCGATAAACTTTCAACGATGATATGATTAAGGGTGATGTTTGCCCTTCGAATGCGTAATGCTTGCCGTTTAATTAATCGGTGTCTCGTGACACGTGCTGGATGATAGATCGCTAGCCCACGAAATTATCAGCTTGCATGGGGACGGCCGGTGGCGACAAAATCCACATCAGAAATCTTATTATACACGACAATAGCCCAATCTGGCCTTTTTTGGAATCATTGCTAACAGGGTTTGGGCAGAGATCCGGAAGATTTGGTAGCTTCATAGAACTAGGCGGAAAATCGAGCTAGGAGCCCTCAGCTGAAGCTTAAAAAGGGTTGTTGGGGAACAGCTCAGATACACAGAACTACTACAACCCAGGAATCTGAAGAAAGGTGTTGAGCCTCCCTTTTTAGAGTTTTCCTTAATGAGCACTGATGATAAACGCGCATTGAGTATTGTCAGAACTCCGAATCACAGATTTTATAACCGATTTCCTTTTAGAGGATCCAACCATAAGAGGGAACATCACCCCTGCTGACATCAAAATTCTTGTCTCGTGAGCTTCAGAAACTTTGTGACGCTTCTCGCTTTAGAAGGTTCAAGGATCGGCGGCCCCTACGTTCATCCGTAACACAGGGGGCCGAACTAGTATTCCGGACCGAACAAGAATAGGCAAACAGCATCGGACCGGAATGGTGCTCGGTTCAGTGCTACGCAGTGCTTTCGGACTATCCTCTGCCCCTGCTCACCCAGTCGATTTCTGACAAGATCTAGTGCGAAGATTCGGCAAGAGAGCCAACGGTGAAGGAAGCGAAGCGGTCCCATCGCCTCGGCGACTTCGATCAGTCCGTCGGAAAAGGAACTCTGTTTATGGGTAGACGTAGAGCGATGGGAGCGATTGTGGGGCTATGAGGATGTGACTGACCAAGCGCACCATTACTCCGAGGGTGATTTGTTCTTCTGTGAGAGCATGGAGCTACTACCTTCTTTATAACCTGCACTCGAAGCTCACTAGGAACGGTGGCAAAATGCTTTGACAATTCTGCCAGGAAGTCAGAAGTGTGTCCACTAGGGCTGGCCAGCATTGATCATTTCACTTGTTTCATTCTGAGAATTTGAAATTTAACCTCTGCTCTTCTTGGTTGCTTCTAGTGACGCTCACATTGCCTTCCGATATTTCTTGAAACCCAACCGCACTTTCATTCCTGGCTAGACTATCTATCAGGCAACCAAAAAAGTTCCTGCGGTTTTGAAGGTAGCGAAAAAAATAACATAAAAAACGGGTTAAACTTAGATTTATTCCGAAAAATAATTACCCTCAGCAAGTAATACACTTTCCCATTTAGACACAAGAGCATATATTCCATTTTTGTAAAAATCTTGCTTTTGGGAATTAAAGAAATGTTTTAGTTCGTTGTCCAAAGCCACTTCATTTTCAAATCGCCGATTCCTCATGTGGTTGTCCAAGGCCAAAAACAGATGATAGTCACTTGGAGCAAGGTCTGGCGAGTACGGAGGGTGAGGTAGAATTTCCCATCCTAGTCGCGCTATTGTTTCCTGAGTGATTCTTGCAAGTGTGCGCGTCTTGGCATTTTGCCTGGTGGAAAACCACACCTTTTCTGTTCGCCTTAATTGAAAGTAATCTAAATTAACAAATACACTGAATGACACTCCTTGACATATGTCTTAACATGTATTCAAAGTTACCCTACCACTAGATCCAGTTTACTGAATATACTTCATAAAAGTAGACAATTAAAAAAACCGCACGAACTTTATTGGTTGCCTGATATAATTCCAAGTAGTGGCCGAAGTAAGCAGCTGACGCAGAATCTTTTTGTTTTATCCTTAGATGCAGTAATCAGCATTACACTGAGGTATTAACGTTTAGTTCCAGGATTTGGAAGAGATTCGCGAGATGGGCGCTCGGCATTTCTCCTTGAAACAAGAATACGGTCTTAGCACTGCCGAACTGGACAGATTCCAGGAGATATTTGTTGAAGTGATATTGAAGCAGGATGGAGTTCGACAGAGTAAAGAAGCCAGGTAAGTTGTGAACTAGTCACATTTTGCCGTTACTAGAATGTGGGAATAAGTATGACTCTTGGAAGAGTGTTTCTACCTCTTCCCTTTTAGTCGCGCCTGGCGAATCCTGATCTGTGCTTTTGTGGACCTGTTCCGGGACGGTTTCGAGACACAGTTGCGTCAGTTCAGACGAAAACAGTCATTTAATGCGCACACACAATACTTTGAGGATATCGAAAGGCAAGTTATTGATCAGTATCTATCAAATCTTTCTAAACGTCTGCCAGGAATCTTACCTTGCTCATAATGCCCATATTATGACTAAAACCACTTTCAAAAATTGGCATCACTTCTATGTTGAATTCCGAGTAAATTTCTCCCGTATTGTTGAGCCAATCCTGGATTTCAGGCGAACATCCTGTTCCTCTCGCAAAACATCACTTAACATCGACGGTGCACGAGTGGATGGCTGCGCAAAAAGGATGTCGCAAATACAACTTTAATTTTTATTCATGAACGTCGTACTCTTATGCACATTTCATTACTCTCAGAGCTTTGTGATTTCAATCAGACAAGAACTG